TTTTTTTTTTTTTTTTTTTTTTTTTTTTTTTTTTTTTCCTGTAGATAATCCTCTGCAGCATTTCGCAATAGGCATTTTGGCAAAACACCAATCTTGGCAAATCCTTCAACCCTGTAGAGATGCCCAGGTGTCTGATGTGAGACGTTCCTGGGGCTTTGAGTTATTCTATTTTCCCAGAATTCTGGCACACGGCAAATCTAATGCTTTGGAATGTAGCAATGAATCAAGGCTCAGAATGTTCAGAAGGGTTTGTGAACCTTCATTTTCCAGCCTTTACAGTTCAAGAATTTATGGTTCTTGGACATCTGTGACACATGAAATACTGTGTGACCCAAAGTGATACAAAACTATATCTCCATGGTCTTGGCAACACCTATAAAATAGGTGTATTTATATTTTCTGTTCTGTCTAAACACTAAATTTATGATATATCAAACAAATCTGCCTTGTTAATCCCCATCTGAAACTTTTTTGGGGGTAAAAAGAGGCAGGTAGAGGAGCAGAACTAGGAGTAGTCTGTCACAGCACAGGTAGTCTGTAGCTAAACAAGGTAAATCTGGCCATAACAAATCCAATTCAACTGACCTGGCTCATTCTAGAAAAAAGGTAACAAAGACCTCAGCCAACCCTGTTCAAGCATAGATGCAGATATACCACTGGCCAGAGAGCTGGGAGGAGAGAGGTCCCATCATCAGCTAAGCTGGAAGATTACAACACCTTATAATGTTAATTATAACATTATATATATATATATATATATAATGGGCAGCCATATTAAGCTCAACGCTCTTTGCTGATGACTCTCCGTTTTGTGTCCTGTGTCTCTCTCCAGCCCACAACTCCACACAACAGTAGTCAAATGATTAAGCTCCTTTCCCAGGTTAATGACAGTGAAAATCAGATCTTGGATTCTGTGAGGTTTGTCAAAACCATGTGTTAAAAAAGTTCTGACAAGACCCAAACCTTGAACTTCAGCAAATATTTTATTAAAAAGAACCTGCTGTGGCTGGAAGGGAAAAAAAGAAAAATGTTTTCTGAGATGGGATCATCTCACAGAACTAGAGAGGACTCAGGAGATGCTGTAGGGACAGAACACTGAATAAGAATTATTAAAACCACCACTAAATTCAAACAGCCATGGCTCAGATGTGTGAGAAGAGCCTTCTGCATGCCTATGTGTGGGAGTCATTTTCCCTTTTCCCTCATTTCTGCCTATTTAAAAAATGAATGTTGTTTCACAGTGTTTTGGCTGAAAGCAAGAGGTATGACCCAAAATCTCAATAGTGCTCATGAAACTGGTGTCTTTGTTTGAAGGACTGGAGTTTACTAGGGAAGGCAGGAGCCTACCTTGGAATGGAGAATGTAAACCCCCTCCTCCCGAATTATTATGATTTTGAACTTAAGGGGCTCTCAGGCAAAGATATGAAGATGCAGATAAGAGTTCTTTACTAGAATGTATAACAAGGCAAAGAAACAATAACTATGACATTAACAACAGAACCAGGGACCCAGTAAAAGCCTTTTTTGGCTGCTGGCACTTTCCCCTTTGGTGCAGTTATCGTCACAGCTGGTAGCAAATGAGAAAAAAAAAAACCCGGGGTGGTGGACTAGATGTATTAGAAGTTCCACAGTGGTAGCTGAAACTCAGGGATGGTGCCAGCTACAGCACGGAGAAACCCAGAGCCGTAGTGAAAACAGCGGGGATGGGGCAGGGACGGCCCGGCTCCGAGCTTTGCAGGGAGAGGCGAAGTTCAGCATTCTCAGGGCACACGACCAGCTGGGGGTCCATCCCTCAGAGCTGAACTCTGGCGGTGCCGGTGAATTCTCCTTGCAGTATGCGACAGCCTGGCCGTCCTCTTCCGATGCCGAAGAGCAAGAGCGCCCAGCTGCCTCCAACCCTGTCTTTTTACCTGACACCCCCCCCGCCCCGCCCATTCCCGCGGTATCTCTGTCCCTCGGAGAGAAACTCTCCGAGAAAAAAAAGGTATAGCCAGATGGTCCATTCTTCTCCCGTCTTCAGACACAGTCTTTTGTCTTTCTTAAGTACCCATAAGTATCCAGTAGTAAATTTCCTAGCATCGTATGGGGAAAAAAATTCTGTAAGAAACCCAATACCCAACAACTGGTTTAATGACCAAAAGATGTTCGTCGGAGGGGGGAAACTGTTTCAGCCTGCCTGTGCTGTGAACAAAGGTAGATCTCCCTCTTGGATGTGCTTCCAGCCTACATGTCCATCCCCAGGGAGTGTTCAGGTGACTATTGTGACTTAGGTCACAGCAACCACCCAGGACAGCAAATCCCTGGGTTTGAGGTGGGACGGGATGTATTTCTGGACCAGGTGCAGGGGCAAGACAAGGATCCTAAGACGACACAGCAGCCATGCAAAAACCTGGATGGAAAACATGATCTCTGAAGAAAAACATTCATAGCAGGGGTCATGTCCCTGCATAGGGGAGTAGAAATCAGCTTAAATTAGTAAATACCCAATTAGGCACAAGTCAGCTCTGAATTCATGGAAAATGGGAGAAAACAGGGAGACTTCAGCTATGAGGGCTCATGAGGGCTCATAAGAAGGCCCATAACTGGAAGATCCTGGTTGCATTTCAGCCTTTGGAAGAGACTTGTGGAGGGGCCAAGCTGGATTCCCAAGGATTTAACCAGAAGTTAAGAAATTTGTAAGACCACATCCCCAGCTTTGAGAGCAACATGTGGCAAAAGACGCAGTATATTTAGCCAGGAGGGCAAGAAGTGTTCAGGATTGGGGAGAGGCTCCTGCCACACTGCAGAAGTGGCTCTGAACCAGTACTGGAGTCACTGGAGGGGACTCGTCCAGATGGGGAGTGAGAGGAGATCAAAGAGACAGTTCCAGAAAGATACCCATGATTGAAAATATTTTAATACCACCAAGTCACAATTTTAAGTACAAAAAGCAAAGAAGAAAGAAAAAAAAAAGCATTCAAAAATCCTGACCCATCCCATTTCCAAGGTCATGCATCCTATGGAAAAGTTAATGGAATTTATATTAATAGAATAAAAACATTCTTTACACTGAAATATAAAAAGGCCTTTTTAGTGTGTTTGTTTTTTTTTGGGGGGGGGTTGCCTTTGTCTCTTTAAAACTTTGTTTTGAAGCACAAAGTTCCTTTTCAATCCTTACTGCAGTGGCTTTGTTTGGTGTTTTTCAAACCCCCAAATCTGCGTTCAGCACCTGATGAGTGATGCCAGCCTACAAGCACTGCTCTCCCCTGAGGGATGCAGGTCCCAGTTTTACAGGGGGACTGCAACCTAAAAGAGATAAAGGCAGTTAATGCCAGGGAGAAAGAGAGAAATCACCCACCCGGGTGGGAAAACATTGTTTCTCCTCCAGCACAGCCAGGGACCCAGACCTGCGCATGGACATATCATCAAATAGAGGGAAAGGAAATAAAACAGAATGAAAGAAAATAAAACAGAGAAAAGTAGAGTAAAATAAAATAGAGCAAAATAAAACAGAGAACTAGAAAATAAAATCAAGTAAAATAAAATAATAAAGCAAAATAAAATAGAGCAACCCAAAATTTTAAAAAATCAGCTTTCTCTTCATATTTGGGTTTTAAAATAAAATAAAATAAAATAATAGATAATGAAGCTGTTTGGATAATTTCCAGTGTCCTTCCCTGTGGGTTGGTTGGCCCAACACCTGCAGCAGGGCTGGAGGGATGGAGTACAGAGAGTTTGGAGGATTTACAGATTAAATTGGAGCTTTGGCAGTTGCAAAACAATTAGTAGCAGTAGAATAGAGGTACAAAGTGGTGGAGGTAATTAGCACGTTGTGTTTGGAACCTTCACTGTCTGCTCTAGGGGATCCTGGCGGGGAAGAGGGATTTGGACGCAGCAGGGAGGCACCAAAACTCAGGGTTGAGTCCATCTGCCACTCAAAATAGTTGTGTTAGGCACCAAAACTAAAAACAAATAATTTGTGGTCAGAGCCCCTTTTTGCTGCTTTAATTTGCCCAAACTAATTTTTTCTTGTTTAACAAGGCACAGCCTGGTCCTGGACAGGAACAAGTCCAAGGTAGTTTGGGCTGGCAGAGCTCAGTTGGAGCAACTGGCCTCCAGGCAGGAATCAATAATAATTAATAGTAATATTTAAGTGTTGCTTTTCAGTAGCAATGAGGCAGGGGAATGCTGCACCCTGAAAGCATGCCTCTGCCAATAGTGGGATGTGGGGATGCTTGAACCCTGAATTCGGCTGGTGCTGTTAGAAGTGAAAACCTCATCCAAGGAAAACCAAGCACTGGCTTTCCTCCCTGCTTGTTCCTGAAAACAGGATGTGGGAGAAGGGTAGCCATAGTACAAAGTGCTTCTGTGCAGCACACCCTCATGGGATTGGCAAATTGGCTCTGTGCCTCTGTGTCACTGGCATCAGCCTCTCTGCATCACCCCTGTGATAGACAGACATGGCCTGACCACAATGTGGGACTGGGGGGTGTCACCCCACCCAGCTGAGAACACAGCAATGATGGATATGGGAGGTGTGATACTTAAAACCTCTACTTTAGAGGCTGGCACTGAAAATGGTACTGAAATCTGGAAGGTAAGGAGAAAGGTCTCACAGGGAATTCAGGGTCTAGGCAGGGTGGGAGTACCAGGGTCTTGCCTGGTTTTGGGGGGGAAGGGAGGCACTGGGCAGCAGGAGCGCAGGGTTAGGGCTCAGACATACTCCCGGGCTGCAGAGGGCTGTGACTGCAGATGGTACTGCTGTCCTCGGCGCTCCTTGGCAGGGCAGGAGCAGCACAGGAGGGACCCCCCCAACATGGAGAGGCTGGCGGCCCCCCAGCCCACGAAGAGAGCAGAGCCAAATTCGTACCTGTGATGAAAGGGGCGAGGGAGCATGAGGGAGGGGCAGAGAGGCACAGGTGCAAACTAAGATGGGCAACAGGATACTCAAAACCCTGATGAGGTGATCAAGGTTATGTCAAGGCAGATTTTGGTTCTTCCCTCTCCATCCTCATCTTTCCTGTTGGCTGTATCCAGCTCCCATGTGTCCCCATGTTTTAATCCTCCCCTGGGCTGAAATTCCATATGTACACCATTACACTTATTACCCTTTCCCAGCTGGTAACAGCTAAAGCTTTAGCACCAGGGACATCTTCTGCAAGGTGGCAGCGAGGGCTTGCAGAGGTCCCACCCGTGGGACACACTGGCCCACAATGCTGTGCCTCATCAAAACCAGCAAGGGAAGGTCCAATGGGAAGTGCAGGGACAAGACAGGATTCAGAAGGGCACCCCCTGAGGCAGGCTCTTACCTAGCGTTGATGGGGATGGTGCTCTCTCTGAAGAACTCATAGGTCACCTGTGTTGCATACAATGACACGGCAGCCAATGTGCACAGACCTGGGCACAGAATCATGGAATCACAGAATGTTTTGGGTTGGAAGGGACCATTAAAGATCACCTAGTCCAAAGCCCGTGCTGTGAGAGAGTTGTCTAGCTTTTCCACTAGACATCAAACATTGATTGTCAGTGACATCCAGCCCTCACCAAACCTCTCCCCTTCCTCTATCAGTGTTGAAAGGAGTTTGAGGATTCCTGTACCACTGATGTATGAAGGCTAGAGCTACCTTACCAGAGAGAACGAAGAGAACACCTCCAGCAACAGCTATGCGGCTTTTGGTGATAGGATCCTCCTCCCCGACTTTAGTGCATTTCATGCCCATCACACTCACGATGATGCCAAAGAAGCCCAGGAGGAGAGAAATGACCATGAGAGCCCGGGATGTCTGGAAGTGAACTGCAAGGGGAGAAGAAAAACTGCTCCCAGCAGGTGCCTTTGGCCACAGCCGGGCACTGGAAGCAAGGTCACTGTATTCCATACTGGTGATGGATCTGTCCTTAACCCTGTCCTTGCTGTGTAGCTCCTGTGTCATATCCTCCCTACTTGACAGATACGGGCACCTCAGCTCAGCTCAAGATACTGCTCCCAATGCCTTCCCTGACCTTCTTCCCTGCCACCCTCATCCTGGTCATGACCAGGCTGGGCTAGGAAACACCTTGCCAGGACCAGAACCACAGTCACCAAATGCCAAAAGGGTGATGAACATCCATGGAGTGGGAGGGTTTTGATGTCCCCATGGGGCACTCTTGGTATCTATATGTGATGCCCATACTGGAGTTCAAACCTGCTGGGGCCAGGAGCGTCCCAGCCACACAAAGGGGCTCAAATTCATGGGGCCAAGAGAGGCTCAGTCTGGGGATGGGGAGGTTGCGGCCCAAGATTCACAGATGGAGAGGGAAGCCTGGACCCGCATCGAGGCTCAGCTCAGTGGATGAGTGGACTCAGACCCTTCTGAGGAGAGTCAGACCTACAATAGGGGTGGGGGCAAGAAGGACTTGGACCCGAAGGTGACTCAGGCTCCAGAAAGAGCCAGGGGAGCTCAAATGCATCCAGATATGAAGAGGGTACAGACCTGTTGGGAATCTGTGTTCAAACTTATACAGGTGGGTTCAAACACAGAGAAGGGCTCAGAGCCATATGGGGAAGGGTCAAACCCACAGCGGGGCACAGACTTACAAAAAGGGGCAAGGGCAGCTCAGGATCCCAGGGGAGCCCAGACCGAAGGCGGAGACAGGCTGGGGGGAGTGCACGCAGGAAAGAAAGCGGGGCTCATCCTACGGGGTCCCGGGCCCCTGTACCCACCTTCGAGGGAGAGCAGCGAGTCGTGCAGGCGACACTGCACCTGCCCGGTGCTCTGCGCGGCGCAACTCATCCACAGCCCCTCGTGGAGCCCCACGGCCGTGATGATGGCGTCCCCGGCGTACGAGCTCTGCCGCCAGTGCGGCAGCACGGCGGCCGCCAGAGCCGCCCCCCAGCCGACCAGCGCCGCCAGGTACCCGGCCAGCTGCCGCCCGCCGCCCATCGCCGCCGCGCCCGCCCGGCCCGCCCCGCCGGACGGGCCGTGGGAGGAGGGAAAGGGCCGGAGCGGGGGAAGGCGGGTGGGGAGTGCGGCAGTGTCGGGGGAGGATTTAAGGTGAAGGGAGAGATATGGGTCTTGCGCGGTGAGATTTAGGCCCCGGGGGGGATTTTTTGATTCGTCGAGTAGGAGAGCTGGGGCCAAGGGGGTGGGTTACTTGGAGTTTAGAGGGAATTGGGTACCGGGAGGCGGGAATTAGAAGCCTGGAAGGGGAGCACTGGGGCCCAGGGAAGAGCATTAGGTCTGAGGAGGAAAGATTTGAATCTGAGGAGAGTGATATGGAGTTGGAGGCAAGGGATTTGAATCCTAGAGGGAAGAATGTGGTCTTAGGGGAAAGATTTGGGGCATGGAGGGTATTTGGGTCCTACAGGAGAGATCTAAGTTTTGAGAGAGACAGAAACCCTCAAGTGACAGTGGAGGGATATGGGAAAATGGGGCTCCCCGACAGGAGGAGGAAGTGGGTTAATGGGAAGTTACCATCCTTGACCCCCTGCTGTGGGCTGGCAGACCCCAGAGGTCACTCCAGGAATTCAACAGGAAGCAGGGAAACGGTTCATTCAGTGAGGGAATTCAGGCACACCATGCCACCAACAAGAGAAGCCATTGTCAGTGTAGGAGAGGGACAGGGGGTGTGGGGAACACGTGTCACCACCCTGGTGACACCAGGCCCATTGCAGCCCCAGGACCTGGCAATCGTTAACTGCCATGGCCTCATCAGCAGTCTGCTCACGCGCTCAGGCAGCTGGGGGTGGACGCTGGGATGGTGGGCAGCCTGCACTGGGACTGTATGTTCACCCTGGAGACAACATCCTTCAGATCCCCCCTTGCCCACCCCAATGCTGAATGGCCCTCCAAGTGAGACTGGGGTGCTGGGTGGCTGCACACGGGGCAGGATTTATTTGCCCACATTCCTGGGACGGTTATAGTAATGGCCGGACATCTGTGGGAAGAATTCAATGTCCTGGGCGGGGTGGGGGGGGCGGGGGTGCCAGGGTGCTCAATGTCCTTATTCAAGGACAGTTCCCTCCTCGCTGGAATGTCCCACTTTATGGAAGCAGGGTCCAGGGGATGCTCAGCTGGAGATTGCATTGCACCTACTGCCCCTGAGGCACCTTGTCTCCCACGAACACCTCTGTGAGGCTACAGGGCTACAATACTCCTGGGCAGATGCTTGCCAGGAGGGAAGGTTGAACCCCAATACCGATGACAGCCAAAGGGTGGCACCAACCTTCAGTCCCCACTCGGAAAGTAACAGCTTAGAAAAAAAAATACATTTATTCACCCATTTTCTGCAGAAGGCACTTAAATAGGTGCAAGTTCAGGAAAAGCACACAGCTGCACCTGTTGGCACCATGGCCCCACCCCTAACACAGCATCCCTCCCTCGTCCCCATGTCACCCATCCCTGAGCCTCCATCACACACCCCACGTCAGCTCCGCAGAGGGATACTGGATGCTGCAGGGGTAGTACCTGGCATTCCCCAAAGCCCCATTCCAACTGGGCTGGGGGCAGAGGAGGTCCCATATGTTACCCTTATGACTGTGAACCCAAAGCCACAATGCTGACTTGACTAGTCCCAGCAGAGATGTCCTGGTCCCCGTAGGATGTCACAGCTCATCCTTCCCCACCACAATGGCAGCTGGTGATTCCTTCTCTGGTTCTGGCTCCAAAACTCCCTCTTTGATGCCGAAAAGCATTTTCACCAAGTCATCTGCCTGCACACGTTCCTGTGGGCAGACCCATGGTGGTAAGCATAGCCACTGTCCCACCCAAAAACCCTATGCGCTGCCGGGAGGGAGCTTACCCGCTCACTGTGCCGAGGGTCCAGGGTGAACCAGAGGGCAATAGCGCAGCGCTGACCCTTGGTCACAGCTTTCACCCCATGGGGGTTCTCTGAGCCAGAGGAGAAGCCCACAGCACGGCCACACTGCGGCTGGACCTCTGCCTGTCAAGGGTGGGAGACCAGGAGACCCCAGTCAGGGCTGAGTTGGTTCCCCTCAACCCAAGTTCATCTTTTGCAGAGGCTCAGGGGATGTTCCCAGGGGACAGGGCCAACAGGCAGGAGCTGGATTTGGTGCTGTGCATGGATCCTTGGAGCTGAGCTACTCACGGTCTCAGTCTTGGCATCTAGCTCGGTGAAGTAGAAAGCACCTCCTTCAAAGTCCCCATTGAGGTAGAGGATTGCACTAAAGGGAGCAGGGAAGAAGCGGAGGTGACAAGTAACCATCACCAGAGCTCCCCAACACCATGGCAAGAGGCAGAAGCAAGAAAACCCAGGTTTAGTGTCCTCTGACCTTGCTCCTCCCAATTCAGGTGCAACCAAATCATGGTAGCCTTAGGTGGGGAAGCTGCAGCTGACAGCCACCACCAGTACCTGTAATCCCGGAAAGTGTAGGCTGGGGGTTCCTTCACGCACAACAGTGCCTCTGCATTGAGAATGCAGTTGTCCACATGCACCTCGTGGCTATTGTCACTCCGGCCTTCTTGCTTCTCTAGGGTAGAACAGGACATGTCAGGACCCCTCTGTGCAAGAACAGGGTCCATCCCCAAGTATCTTGTGCTTGCAGATGAAAAAAGAGTAATGTTAGCCTAAAGCGCTTCCACATGCTTGGAGTGTGGATCATGCAAGACCATTTGGGTGGGCATGAAACACTGTTGACTTGTCCCATGGCATTTCCATAGCCTTCCAGGCACAACCTCTCTCAGCACCCATCCCAAAATGCCTCAGAGTGATGAAATCCTGTATGGCATGAAGCCATCTGCCCTGTTAGAGGTAACCAGCAGGGCTGCTTCTCATCTTCCCCAACTGGGCTTAGGGACAAGCTTCCTACACCCTCCTGGGAAGAGGAGTGGGTTAGGGACCAGCAAGGAGGTCTCCAAAGAAAGGTCCAAGACTACACCACTCTAGTATTAGAGGAGATTCAGACAAGACAAGACTTGTTCCTCTGGGCCACAATTACCATCAATAGCTGTGCGACACACTAGATGGGAGTAGGAGAAGTGGAGTGGAACCTCCAAGCGGAAGTAGGACTCAATCATGTGCCGCACCTTCTCTGTCACGTTGTAGTACAAGTAGGCACTGTGCAGGGGCACCTTGCCCTCCTGGCCGAGCTGTGGAGGACAGACAGGACAGGGACTCAGCCCCAGATGGGCATGGGCAACCATCTCCCCCAAAACTACATTCCCTTGTCCCCACAGCCTGTTTCTCCACACAACCACCCCAACCTTGAGGGCCTTGAGGACAGTGACGCCATAGAAGGTCTCGCTGGGAGTGTGAGGAGAGGTCTTCCCCCGATAGCCATCTCCAGCCAAGGCAGCCGCCTGTAAAACCCAACTGGTGTTACTGGTCTGATGTGTGAGCTGCAGGATGGGACCCCTTGGCATCCTCTGCCCATCTCTGCCAGCTCCACCTGTTCTTGCACTCACATTAGTGAGTCTCTGCAGCTCTCGGCACTCCTCAGCAGAAAGGACTCCATCCACCACGACACGCTGGGAGCCATTCAGGGCCCTGGAGTTCATGGTGACACTGGCTCCTTTGTACACCAAAGGGCCACCTGTCGCACAAATGGGATTGGTGGATGTGGGGAGAGATGCCACCAACTCTGCTGTGGTTGGGGGAAGCTGCAGTCCCTCCACCTGTTCCTCCTGCCACCCATCTGTGAAGGGACTGTGAGCTGGCAGCAGGGGTCACAAAGGTCTCCATCCCACCTCCCCTCCTGGCCTTCTCCACCTTCTCGGATGAACTTGCTCATGTCGGCAGACTCTTTGGCCTTCTCCTCCACCAGTGTCTCAATCTCCTTCATGAGGTTGCCGATTTCCTCAGAGATGCGTGCTGCTGTCTCCCGCTCCACCCTGAGCATGCGGCAGCCATCAGGACCACCACCCCACTGTCCCCACATCAGAAATCAGGGCCACTAAGACAAGGGCAGGACAAGTTGTCTCAGGTGCTGGTAACGAAGCTGGCACCTAGACTGGAGGGAGTCACCTCAATGCATCCTTCACTCTGAGGTGCTTGGGGTGACCTACACATGCCCATCATCCCATGAGCTGATGGGAAGTAGAGTTCTGCCCTCCAGCAGCCTCTTCCAGTCCCAACATTAAAACTTCCCCTGGCAGAAGCTCTATGCCATGTCCTTTAGCCCAAAACCCATGGAAGAAGAAGGGTTTGTCCTGTCGGACCCCCATTGGGTGAGTTTGGCAGGGGACAACACTCACTTCTGTTTCTCTCGCAGTCTTTTTGGCATCACCTCTTCAGGTGTCCATGTGTCCTGCCACCAGAAGAACAACATCAGGAGCTGGACAAAGATCTGGCCAGGACACAGACCCCTCATCTGCATTCCATCTGGCCACTGCATCACCCTGGTCTCACATCACCCACCGGGTCCACAAAAGGGATGCCAAAGACATCATAGCTGAAGAAGAGCATCTCCTTCTCCATCAGACTCTGCTGGTAATATACCTGGATCTCCTGTGGCAAGGGGCAGAGGGATGGGGTGAGGTACAGCAGGAGGATTCTGAAAAACCCTGAGTGTGAGCAGGAAGATGCAGGTTTACATCATTCCTGTGATCCTTGCTCCAGACCCGCAGCCTGTTTTCCTGCTCCATCGGGCAACAGGGAAGCAAGTGGCATTCTCCATCCTGTCTGAGCTTCCCTGTGGACAAGCCCTGGGGAGGTGAAGTTGAGCAGAGGCACGTGTGTGTCTCTTCTACAGGAAGCTCTTTAGTACTAGTTTCCCTTCCCCTACTCCAACTGGTGTGGGGCAGAGACTCCCATTATGCCTATCACATCCCAGGCAGGACCTGGCCATCCAAATTTGGCTATTTTGAAGACAAATCCCCTGCTTTTTAAGCAATTTCACTTCAGTTGTGGAAAAATGCAACAGAGGTGGCCTCAGATCCTCCTAAAAAGATTGTCCACCTGCCTCTCACAGCCCCTTCTCTCAGGA